TCCAGCCCCCTCTGCGTTCATCAAAAATACACACACCAATCCACTCCGAAAACACCATGTTACCTTTCAGACATGTTGCCCTTTGGAGTGAAAGTGACATGCTCATAGACACAATTGGCTGTGAGGAAGGAAAGAAAGAGAGGGAGATGGAAGGAGACAGACACACATCACCGAAAACAAGAGGTGTATGTTCAAATACACTTTTATCCAGCTAGCCAAGCAACCCCACTTGAAGCCGTCCCACTTGATTTAAGAGGAGAGCTAAGAGTCCTTCTTGGTAGAAGGCCCTGCAAGCAAGGCATGCTGGGACTAAGCAAGCTAGTGCAAAAAGATGAGGAAAAATGAAAGTGAAACTTGTTTCAGTAAGTTGTAGCAGGACCAAATGTGTGTGTGTGTTGAAGAAAAACCTTATGATGGTAATTATTATGTGCAGCTGGTAATGTAGGTCAACCAGCAATCTTAGACCACACAATAGGGTATAACTGTATGGGTTTTTAGAATATAGTTCTGGAAAACCTTTTCTCTGAGGAGATCTATACTCAAAGGCTCTGCACTGAGAAGCAGGTTGGAGAGAAGCTGTTATGCTACTCTAAAGGAGGCTATGGTGGAATAGCTGTTTGCTCAAGGTTTATGTTTTGCTTTCTCATTTGACTTAAGATGAAGATGCCTTATTTTGTGTTACTTACAAAGACTATGTAAGTTTCTTGCACTGTTTGTTTTTTGTATGCAACATTGCAAGTTTGTGTTTCATCTCTGCTATTAAGAGTAAAGATTTTTCTGTTCATTTCTACTCTTGTCTGTGAGTTTTATGTATGGGACGTGGCTAAGGTCCACTTGCTGCACAACAAATCCTACTTTAACTGCTATAGTTCCTATCCTGGTGCTTTTTGTGAAATTCAACAGTGAACAATGAAGTTCAACAGTGACAAATGCAAGATACTCCACTTAGGCAGGAAAAAAATGAAATGCAAAGATACAGAATGAGGGACGCATGGCTCGAGAGCAGTAGGTGTGAAAAAGATCTTGGAGTCCTTGTGGACAACAAGTTAAACATGAGCCAACAATGTGATGTGGCAGCAAAAAAAGCCAATAGGATTTTGACCTGCATCAATAGGAGTCTAGTGTCTAGATCCAGGGAAGTCATGCTATCCCTCTATTCTGCCTTGGTTAGACCACACCTGGAATATTGTGTCCAATTCTGGGCACCACAATTGAAGAGAGATATTGACAAGCTGGAATGTGTCCAGAGGAGGGTAACAAGGATCTGGAGAACAAGCCCTATGAGGAGTGGCTTAAAGAGCTGGGCATGTTTAATCTGAAGAAGAGAAGGCTGAGAGGAGACATGTATAAATATGTGAGAGGAAGTCATAGGGAGAGAGCAGGCTTTTATTCTGCTGCCCTCGAGACTAGGATGGAACAATAACCTCAAACTACAATAAAGGAGATTCCATCTGAACATTAGGAAGAACTTCCTGACTGTGAGAGCTGTTCAGCAGTGGAATTCTCTGCCTCAGAGTGTGGTAGAGGCTCCTTCTTTGAAGGTTTTTAAACAGAGACTGGATGGCCATCTGTCGAGGGTGCTTTGAATGTGATTTTCCAGCTTCTTGGCAGGGGGTTGAACTGGATAGCCCACGAGGTCTCTTCCAACTCAGATGATTCAATCTGAGGTAATTTTTCTATGAGATTTCTTGAATATTGCTGTTCAGCAGAGTGGGACTACAATTTCAGGACCCTGTGCTCTCAATTCCCAGGATCCCATAACTTTGGGGTTCCTTCTATGAGAAAGGCAGGGTATAAAACAGACAAACCGAAAACAGGATGAGACAATAATATTTAAAGTGGCATCGAACTTATGTAACTGTAATGTTGGTACACTTTGTCATCAAAACATCTGTACTAGTTGATACCATCCATGCTTTCTGTGTTAAAGCTTTGAGGCTGTGAAGGAAGCTCCCATATCTTCCATTAGCCATGCCCTTAATCTGGAGTTTGCTTCTACCACCTTATTTGATCTTAGCTCCTGAAGGCTAAAGTACTAAGTAAAACATATCCCTTTCCACTCGTCTAGATTACTGTAGGTGACAGTGTGATGTAGCAGCTAAGAAAAAACAATGTGATTCTAGGCTGTATCAATAGAAGTATAGTCTAGATCAAGGGAAGTAATCATACCACACTAACATTGTTTAGTAAGACCTCACATGGAATACTGTGTGAATGGAGAGGAGGTACCACAGTGATTTATTTTTGAGTCTATTCCTTATTGTGATACTCTGACAATCTTCAAGACCTGTCAATGGGGCAACAAGACAGGATGAGGATTCTGTTAGTGATTACCCAAACCATTGCCCAGCTGTCTCCATGCCAGATCTGATGGGGGTGATATTGCAAGTGGTGTTACTATCTGCCAAATTTATTGTGTTGGAGGATTTTAACATCTATTCCAAGATACTCATCAGTATTAACTCAAAAGTTAGGAGCCCCCGGTGGCGCAGTGGGTTAAACCCCTGCACCAGCAGGACTGAAGACCAACAGGTCGCAGGTTCGAATCCAGTCAACAAGCTCAGCAGCTCAGCGGTTTAACCCACTGCGCTACTAAGGGCTCCAGATTTCATACATATCCCCTATTTATAGTATTATATTGTAAATAAGTCATCATACACACATTCTTGCCGATGCATGCTGGACTCCCAATAATATGCAACGCGCTCGCCTGCCAACACTTTCTTGTTAAGGCTTGAAGGCAGACTTGACTAGTTGGTTATATCTGCATTTTGAGTGTTTACCTGGTGAATTAAAGCCTCCTAACTCAGTTTAGGTCACAACATTTATAAACTGAGTTGCTTTGAGAATCAGTTGATTTTGGATCAAAATTGGTGTGACATTAGCAGGCTCAAA